GCACCGGCATGGCCATTTCAGGGTGTGACACTTGATTTCGTCACTTGCTTGCCGAAGTCTAAGGGTTATGATACTTTGATGGTGGTTGTGGATTTGTTATCAAAGATTGCACACTTCATTCCAACTGTGGGAACAATAAATGCGAAACAAGCAACAAATCTCTTTTTCCATGAAGTAGTGCGGGTTCATGGTCTTCCTGAAGAGATGATCTCGGATAGAGATTCAAGGTTTACGGGGAAGTTTTAGGGCACATTGTTCCAGCTATTTGGTACCATATTGAAATTTAGTACGGCTTATCATCCTCAAAGTGATGGGTAGACCGAATGCGTGAATGCTCAAGTTGAGAATTATTTGCGGTACTATGTTGCGGCGAACCAACGCGATTGGGTTGAGCATTTGGATACAGCAGAAATTTGTTATAACAACACATTTCACAGCACTATTGGTTGTTCTCCATGGGAGATGTTGCAAGGAAATGCTCACGGAGTGCCTCAACAGATTGTTGTACTGAAATCAATGACTGAAGTGTTGGTCTCGGCTATTGAGACTTATGCAGAGCAGCTACGCCAAGGTTGGTCTAGAGCTACTAAGGCGATGGGCAAAGCTTAGGATAGGTATCAACGTGATAAGGATCAGCATCATCGGGATGTATCCTATCAAGTGGGAGATCAGGTGTGGTTATCTTCCCGGAACTTGAACATTAAGGGTTCTTTGTCTCGGAAGCTCTTATCGAGATATGTTGGACCCTATTGGGTGTTAAAACACATTGATGATGTATCCTATAAGTTGGATCTTCCAGGTGAGTTATCTCAGCTACATGATGTGTTTCATATCAGTTTACTAGCACCATATTATGCTTCTGTGGAACGCTCTACGGACATGCGTCCTCCGCCAGTGATCATGGATGGTGAATCTGAGTATGAAGCTGAGTCTATCTTGGCTTCTCGGTTTCGGAGACGAGCTTGTGCGAAGGAATATCTAGTTAAGTGGATGAATCAACTTGGGAACCTTTTAGTAATCTTACCCATGCTCATAAGCTTGTCATGGAGCATAAGAATAGTAATAAAGATTAGTTTTTGTAAAAATCTTGTAATAAATCTTGCAAATCAATAAAGAATATATTTCTATAAATCAAAGTGTCGTTTCTCTCGTTCGATAGTACTTGGGTCAGTTTTGGTAGGCTGACTTTGGCACTTCGGTGCATGGGTCCAATCCATAACTATGGGGATAACTATTATAGACTGATCACAAGTCCCCACCTCTCTCTCGATGACTCACTTTTGCAAAGGGGCATAGTCGTGTAAACAACTTAATCTGCCAATTTATAATAGTTGTCTAAATCTTCCCGATGGGGTTGATTTCTTGCTCAGGGGTAGTTGAGCCTCTAGCCTTTTCCCTATGCCCCTGCGGGCAGGGATGTATCATTCCTTTGTAAGCCAAGTGGTATTCGGAGCAGCAAGGGGGGCTAACTCTGTTAGTCATTTCCTTGTCAGTGATGGCCGGAGGGTGTCTGAGTCATAACGTCTTTGGATGTAGAGGAGAGGTCATTCCATAACTCATTTAAGTCGGTGTGTTTCCCACATAATGTGCTTTTCGTTAACTTTCGGAGTTGTTTCCTTGACGGTTGGCTAGACTCGGGTATGCATCGATGAGGACGTCGATCTTCCCCAAGGGGGGGAGAGTGTCGCAAATGTGACTTTGGGTATCGAAAGATACTTGTCGGCTAGTTGTTACGGGCACTCTTTCCTTACTGCCATGACGGCAAGAGGTCGGTATTGCTGGTTCCCTTTAATAGCCCCTCGTGTCCAAGTGTTAGTTTACTGGGCTTAGCATCTGTACTTAGTCAAATGAACATAAGGTAGGAACTCCTATGTGTTTCTAGCTGAGCATTCTCGGCCTGGCTCTTAGTTCTCTTTTGCTCTGTATTGCACTGGCTTGGCAAGAACCCTCGCGTATTGAGACTAGTCCCTCAATGTCACTGGATGATAGCTTACCGTGTTTGCCAAACACCCTCGCTATCACGCCTTTTGTGTTGGTCTCATTTCGGTCCCAAATGCTATTTATGGAAAGTGTTTAGATTAGCTCATTTGGCATATCTACAGAATGTAGAGATTGGCCCGAACACAATGGTGTCCGTTCCGTGTCCAAATTCGCAATCTACCGCCATTCCATATTAGTAAGTTTCAAAAGAGACTAACTTCTAGTACTAAGGGAAGATTGGGGTGAAAGCCCAAAGCATGTGTTCCTCGGGGGGGGGGGGGTGGCGCGGGGGGCTGTGGGATTGTACCGGACCCTTGTTTCATAGTGTAACGGGCTTGGAGTTCATCTCCAAATTCAGGTGCGCTACAGCTGCAGTGAAGAAGACCGCTTGGAAAGCTGAAATGCGATGCAACAGGTGCAGCGCAAGCAGGCATCCAACACGCCCATTACCATCTTCAAACGGATGGATCTTTTTGAAGTTGATGATGAGCCTTGCAACTATGGAGGCCCATTTGGCGATGCTCAGCTTGCTCTTGCTGTGCTCTTTGAGACGGTCTAGGAACTTTCGCATCTTGACCTGGATGTCTCGGGGATGTGAGTAACTCTTTCCAGCGGAGGACATGGCACCAAAACTGTGGAATGCCAGGACGGGTGTCATCTGTAGAGCTTCATGCAGTTGTAAAAGCTGCAAGGTCGTGATGGGTGAGCTCTCTGGCCAGGACCTAATGACGGCAAGACCTCTCAAGAGCCCTGCGGATCAAGCAGGATCATCCAAGCCATAGGACGTAGCAACTTTGATAGCTTGGGTGTCCCAAAAGGCCTCAAACTTGGAGTGGATTAGATAAGTATGTGGAGAGAGCTGCGACATAAGACATACCAGAAGGCTGCGTGGTTGGATGGTGTAAGCAGTGGTTCTGGCTCCTTCTCCTTGCCAGCTTTTCCCGTCAGTTTCCTCACTGCAATATAAACAAACACTATACAAGGTTGAGAGATCGAAATGCATACTAGCACTTCAGATGAGATTCAGAGCCGCACACCGCCCATCCATGATACCAGCTGAGAGAAATTCCCAAGTCCTGTGACCCTAGGAAGGTGCATTTCATGGAATCGTTGGAAATATGGCAATATCAATCTCCATACCTACACAAGCCGCAAGTTGCTCTTGGATCCTAGCTCTGCAGGGATTCTGTGGGGGGTTCCAAATGTGTAGTAGAGATAGTGGTTGGAATGCATGTTTGACCATCTGAGACATTAGTTTGGCTCCCACTGGGTTGTGTCACTCTTTGTTCTGCGTCGGGCTTGGGTCTAAGCCCAAGCTCCACGTTGCTCTAGTCGGTGGGGTACCCTCCTCCTTGCATTATGCCACCGGTATGCCAAAATTGTGCCAAGCTCTATCTAACACCATTTTGCGTGCAGATGCTAGATATGGGGAGCTAGTGCTTGTGGGATTGTACCGCACCCTCGTTTCGTAGTGCAACGGGCTTGGAGTTTGGCTCCAAATTTAGGTGCGCTACAGCTGCAGTGAAGAAGGCGGTTGGGAAAGCTGAAATGCGACGCAACAGGTGTAGCGCAAGCAAGCGTCCAATACGCCCATTACCATCTTCAAACAGATGGATCTTCTTGAAGTTGATGATGATCCTTGCGACCATGGAGGCCCATTTGGCGATGCTCAGCTTGCTCTTGCTGTGCTCCGCGATGCTTGCGTTGAGACGGTCCAGGAACTTCCGCATCTTGACCTGGATGTCTCGGGGATGTGAGTAACTCTTTCCAGCGGAGGACATGGCACCATAACTGTGGAATGCCAAGACAGGTGTCAACTATAGAGCTTTGTGCAATTGTAACAGCTGCAAGGTCGTGATGGGTGAGCTCTCCGGGCAGGACCTGATGACGGCAAGACCTCTCAAGAGCCCTGCGGATCAAGCAGGATCATCCAAGCCATGGGACGTAGCAACTTTGATAGCTTGGGTGTCCCAAAAGGCCTCAAACCTAGAGTGGATTAGATAAGTACGTGGAGAGAGCTGCGACATAAGACATACCAGAAGGCTGCATGGTTGGACGGTGTAAGCAGTGGTTCTAGCTCCTTCTCCTTGCCAGCTTTTCCCGTCAGTTTCCTCACTGCAATATAAACAAACACTATACAAGGTTGAGAGATCGAAATGCATACCAGCACTTCGGATGAGATTCAGAGCCGCACACCGCCCATCCATGATACCAGCTGAGAGAAATTCCCAAGTCCTGTGACCCTAGGAAGGTGCATTTCATGGAATCGTTGGAAATATGGCAATATCAATCTCCATACCTACACAAGCCGCGAGTTGCTCTTGGATCCTAGCTTTGCAGCAAGAAAAGGAAGCTGAGCGCTACACACCCGGGGCGAGAGGAGAAATCAATCGCTGATGCTGAGTCGGCCTGATCCAGCTAACAGGGAGCGATCTAGAGCAAGAAACTATGAAATTTCGTTGTGATTGACCGAAGCGCCTACCCTGCGCTGGCGCTAGATTAATCGTTCACCCCGCTAGCGCCATCACCATCGTGCTCACGCCGTCGCCTCGCCAAGCGCTGGAGAATGAGCTTGCGCCAACAGCCAATTATCGCGTGCCGCATGTCAAAGCCCGGGAAATTCAAATGTACCCCTTTTCAAACCTTGGCTGTATAAAAAGGGGCCCTTCTGGGTTGAGGGTAGGGCATATAGATGGGGCGATACGCGGAGAGGCCCTTCTGGAGGTGCGATGGCGACGGCGCCCCGGCGACGAGCAGCATGGTGGACGCCATTTGTGGGTACGTGAAGAGGTTCCAGGCCCTAGACGTGTACGGGCAGCGCTATGGCCGACTTCCTCTTCCAGGTGAACAAGCTGGAGCTGGAAGGCTTTGATACCCGGGACCAAACACTCCACACCCTGGAGCATCTCCACGAAGTGGTGGCTCCAGACAAGAGATTGGAACAAGTCTGCTGCCTGTCCCGAGCATTCAACACATGGTGGCTCCAGGAGGAGAAGGCCGAGGAGGCTCCCAATGTCAACAACTACAAGCTCAGGCAGTCACACGAGCTTCTTATGGAGCCGAGCAGGCCAGAGATCGCAGGCTTGTTTCATTCCGGCAGTGAGGTTGCAATGACAATCACGAGCAGCAGAAGGCAGCACTTCTACGCGGATGCCTGGGCAATCCGGCCCAAGTTGTCCAAGTTGGTGAGCAAGACTAATGCGGATGTGGAGCGGCTCTTTGAGGAGGAGGCAACGACAAGGAGCTGCAAGACGGTGGAGCAGCTCCTGGTGCTGGCCTCGGACTTCTTCTACAAGTTTGAGTGCATCCATGCGTTTGTGGATGGGAATGGGCGATGCGGGAGGATGATGCTGGCCTGCTACTTGCTTCGCAGCGTGGCTGTGTTCCCCAATGTCTTGTTTGCTGCTGGCGCTGGCCGCCAGCACGAGTTTGTAGACCGGGATGTCTACCTCAAGTGCTTCGAGAGTGCTCGCAAGGATGACCACAAGCCCAGGGACCTGACTGCTCTCATCATAGAGGGGGTCTACTTCGGTTGGCAGAGGTTCTTTGTGGCCCTCGAGTCGTGGCAGGGCCTCAAGTTGTAGCGACCTCATACTTACCTCTCGCCCTCGAGAGGTTGCTCGAGCTCGCTTTCCAGCTCTATTTATTCCTGGAAAGACCACCTGCCTTCCTCGGCCACGTGTCAATGAAGGAAGCGAGCGACTCAAACATACCTTTGAGAACAAAAACTCTATGAGGTACCATGGCAAAAGCTCACTACGTGACCAGGAACAAAGGGAGGAAAGCTTTACCTGATCGAAGGAGGTGCTCGTCTTTGCGTGATCATCCCTGGAGCTTTGCATGGCCCAGATTCCAACAATGATCTCTCCACGACTTTGAGCTAAACGAAACGTCTCGAGGACGCCTACCGCACAGATCCTAGAAGCTTGACGATCTCTGAAAACAACGACATATCGTCGTGCAATACAGGCAGATCTTACTCGCGTGATTCCACCAGCGCAACCCTGGTGGCATCAAAGAGCTTCACATTCTCACCTCCGGCGATCCTCAACCACCCCGAACAAGAACAAGAGAGAGAAATTGAACCCCAGAAAGAGACACCCGCAGGAATCGAACGCGTAACCGGACTTGGTTCACAAAGAATATTCGGCTCGTGATCCTTGTACCAATACAATATATAAAACTATATACTACTCACTAAATATTTAGAAATGTTAATTGCTTGCAGCTCATTGCAAATGCTCAAGAGAAAAGGCCAGAGCCTAAGGGGCATCTTAGGAGGGGATTTTTCTAATATGATGATGCCAAGTATTTCTAATATATCCTAACATGTATCTCTTAGTATGATGGTATCAAAGAATGTTATCAAATTTAACAAAACTTTCTTATAATAATATAGAAACTTTAATTGTATTAAACTAGATAAATACATCTAACATTATTAGTCTTCATTATCTATATTTATTGATAACATTTAAAATTCTTAAACAAAATATACTTATTAATTTCTAAAATTATTATTTGTATATATTTTTATTTTACAGTGGTTAGTAGTTTTTCAATTGCATTATTAAGATTTCCCTAAAAATAGCTATACCATTTATAGTTGGAGACAGGTATCCCAATCACATTAAAATCAAAGTAAAGATTAAATGTTTAATAACATTATATTTTTATGTTTCTTATTGATATATTCATATGTGATTGCTTATAAAAATCCTATATATAAATTTATATATCATATTTCTCTTTTAATACTTTTTTTAAAAGTGCTTCACTATATAAACTCCTATATGGTTATAATCCAATGCTGCCAATGGAGTTGGGTTCACCTTCGCAATTGCCACAGACTGCCAATGCTAGGTTATGGGATCAATATTTGACAAGTATTTTTTCAATTGTCCAAGTAAAGTTTGCTAAACATTTAGGCCATGTACAAATGGGACAACAATGATACTACAACTCCCATCATCGTTTACCTATAGAGTATAAAATGGATAACTTGGTGTTAATCCATTTTCCCCATCTTATAGTATATAGTTTATCTACATTGCTCTGTGGAAAAGTCCATATTAGGTGTTGCGGCAAGTTAGACCGCAAGTTTATAAAGTTTAACATGACATTCAGTAAATTGATCCTCCAAAAATTGTGCATGTGCAACAATTAAAATGTTTTATATAAAGGGATCATAAACAATTGACACCACTTACAGATCTATCAATGTCTCTTCTTAATATTCTTTCAAATCCCAGCTCATCCACAAAAGAACCCTAATGGCCTTCTATTATTTCAAGAGGAGGGGATGATATAAAATTTAAGTATACAGCTATAATGCTATATACTAATATTAGTATAGTAGGATTTTAGTAATCGTCAGATTGGTTTCAATTCAGTCCATTCGCTCTTGTATATAAACTAGGGTTTTTGGGTTAATTGATATACACATTTCTTGTATTCTCTTTCCATATTCCATACACTCACAAAAAATAAAATTTGAGAATTAACTAGTAGATTGAGGTGTAATAAATTTAATAATTAAGCAGCATAAATTAAATTATAACAAAGTAACTCAAAAATAAACTAGAAAAACTTCTATAATTTTTTTTAACAATCTTTTAGAAAAACTGTACCTTAAACAATGTAGCATTTTATAATTAAAGTTCCCAATGAAGATGAAGGTAGAATGGCACAACTTTCCTCAGCAACTCATGGCAGCCTGCAAAACCTTCTTTGGGATGGAGTCGGTAGGTTGCATATCACTGAATCCATACCTTGGCAACGACCAGCAAGGCAAGATTGTCCCAGGAGCCTTGTTCCTCAGCAGCTGCTATGGCATCTTACATAAACCCAGAAGGAATTTCGCAACATGCAAGAAAGAAAATAGTACCTGGAATAGCAATAAAGTGGACCTCAACCACAAACATGGTGTTTTATCCGCACAAATCTGTTACTTCAAAGGTGCAAAAAAGGAGGAAATCTAAGTTCTAGTAGATCAAGTATTATAGAGGGTTGTATGCGCTCGTTGCGATTCAGGGTCTGGAAAGATCGCTCGTTTTCTTCCTTGGCTTGTTCGACCACCCACAGCGTTGATTCCGCAGAAGGCCAAAGGGAGGTTGAGAACAGGTATGCGGCGCTCATACGCAAATGCCGCCACTTACACGAAGTCCGGAGAGTTCACGGCCAGCTCGCCGAAGCTGGATTTGACGGGCACAGGTACCTCACAAACGTGCTCATCCAGATGTATGGCAACCTCGGCGGGATCCAGGAGGCCAAGCTTGCCTTTGAGCGGATGCCCGAGAGGAATCCATACACTTGGAATTTTCTCATCGTTGCTTCTTCCCGGAATGGGCATCTGGAGGAGGCTAGGATGGTGTTTGACAAGCTTCCGGAGAAGAGCGCGGTGACTTGGAACACAATGATCTCCTGTTACGCCCAGAAGCAATGCGTGAGCGAAGCAAAATGCCTGTTTGACAGCTTACCTGTCAAGGACGTGTTCTCGAGGAACATCTTGCTCACCGCATACGCCCAGAGCGGGAACTTGGCCGAGGCGAAGGAGATGTTTGATTCCATCCCGAGCGAGGAGCTGACCTCCATCTGCTGGAACAATATTCTCACAGCCTACTCGCAAAACCGGCAGCTTCCAGAGGCGAAGTCGGTCTTCGATCGGATGACGGAGAGGACAGTCGAGTCGTGGAACGCCATGATCACTGCGTACGTCGGGAACGGGGAGTTCGCAGCCGCCCTCCATCTTTTCCGGCTGCTAAAGCTCGACGGGACTCGGCCGAACAAGATCACCTTCACCTGCGTTGCTGAGGCGTGCTCGAGCATCGGAGACCCGGCGGAGGGCCGAGCTCTCTTCCAGTGCGTCACCCAGAGCGATGAAACGCTGGATGTTCTCGTCGGCAACGGCTTCGTCAACATGTTCACAAAGTGCGGGAGCTTGGACGACGCGAAGCTGGTCTACGACATGATCACCGAGAAGAACAGCATCGCCGGGACGAGCATGGTGAACGCGTACGCGCAGGAGGGCCGGACTCGCCAAGCCAAGCTCGTCTTCGACGAGATGGTGGATCACGACGTTGTCTCGTGGACGACAATGCTGGCCGCCTACTTGAACAACGGCCACATCACCTCCGCCGAGAACCTCTTTGCTCTGATGCCTGCGAGAGACTATCTCGCGTGGAGCACCATGGTTCTCGCCTACGCTATCAAAGGAAACATCGAGTTGGCAACCAAACTCCACGAAGAAATGCCGGTGAAAGACGCTACCTCGTGGACCGCTCTCATCTCCGGGCATGCTCGAGCCGGGCACTCCAAGCAAGCGCTAGCGTACTTCAAGCTCATGGACCTCGAAGGGATCGAGCCGGACAGGATCACCTTGATGAGCGCTCTCGAGGCCTGCGCTAGCTCCACCGCTCTGGCCGAAGGAAAAACCATCTTCGAAGGCGCTGCTGCTCGAGGCCTCGATCGAGACACCTTCGTTGGCACAGCGCTGGTGAGCATGTTTGGAAAGTGTGGCCGCCTGGATCAAGCTCGAGCTCTCTTCAACAACCTCCCACTGCCAAACGTGGTCTCCTGGACGAACATCATCGTCGCCTATGCCCAGAGCGGCGAGCGATCCCTGGCGGCCGAGATGTTTAACCGCATGGATCTCCAGGGAGAGCAGCCGAACTGGCTCACCTTCTCCACGGTGCTGGCGGCTTGCAGCCATGGCGGCCTTCTGGAAGACGCGCGCTGCTACTTCCTCCGGATGATTGGCGACAATTCCATCGATCCCGTCGTGGAGCACTATCGCTGCCTGGTGGATCTCCTGGGGCGCTCGGGGCAGCTGGACCGGATGGAAGATCTAGCGAACGAGATGCCGTTCGAGGGGGACGAGGTGTCGTGGACTGCCGTTCTTGGAGCTTGCAGCTTACACGGCGATACCGAGCGTGGCGGACGGATCGCCAAACAGCTGCTCGAGATGGATCTTGATCGAGGATCGGCGCTCTACCTCTTGCTCGCGAATCTCTACACCTCTCTCAGCAACGGGAATGCTGGTCAAGAATCGCGAGACCTGGAAGTGATCCGCGCCTAGAATCGCGATCGCGATCGCCGGTCGATGGATTTCGATCGCTCTTGCGAAGATCCTCAAAGAAATGTAGCTAGGGAACCCTAAAATCTTGATAGGGTTTATGGCGGGACAATCCAACTATGCGCCTCCGGCCACATTCTCCGCGGCGGAGGTCTGTAGCAATCTTTCCGGCTCCATCGCGATTCAATCTCGCTGCGCTCCAGGTGGAGTTTCTCGCGGAGGACGAGACGATCGGCATCATTCCCAGCTTGAGAATGGATCCCTTGCATTTGATTTCCGTGAGTGTTTTGCTACCAGCATTGCCATTTCTTCTCATTCTTGTGCCGTCCAGGGAGATTTTGGTCCCTTTCGCCCGCAAATCTCTGCTATAGTGCCTTTGTGGCTCGCAATTGCTCTCAAGAAGCGAGGGAAATGCCGGATCCAGGCTCCGGAGTGGATGACCGTAGGTACTTTGATCGATTCTTTCGATCTATCGAAGAGTTTTCTTTCGCTGTGTGTTCTTAACAAAGGTGAACAGAGAGGCTCACGGAAGTGCTGGAGGAAGAGCGTCAACAGCCACAGGAATTCCGACCTCTACCATTTCACTACATTGAGATATCTAGATTGTTGTTTGATCAGTAAGCTCCATTTCTTTCTTCCTGATGGTGGCTGATATATGTTTTTGATCGTTCTAGTGCGCAAGATGATATACCCGACTGTTACTTGGTACGAGCTCGAAGATTTGCTGCTTGTTCCCTAAGTCTGATTATTCTTTCAGGTGAGGTCATTGATTGAAGACATACGCAATGTGAGGTTCCATAAGATTGAGGCTGGACTCGAGAAGCTCTCCAACAAAACATTTGCTGTGAAGGTGAGCTTCGTGAAGCACACACACTCAACAGCTATGACGGCCTCTTTTTTGCAGCTTACAAACCTCTCGGCTATGGAGGTGAACATCATCCGGCCATTCACAGTGCGGACGCTCCAGGCTCTTTTCAAGCATGGAAGCGACGAGTACCATAGGCATTCCGACGATAGGTTTTCCCAGCCAACTGTCATAAGAGTGAGTTAGTCGATGTTATCGGAATCTTTTTTCTTGTCTCACCACTCGATCTTCGTGAATGCAGCGGATTTAGTCGTGGTTTCTTTCTGGTTTGTGCTAAAATCCAAAAAGGAGTTTTTGGATCCTTGCACAGGTGTGGCAAACTAGATGAAGTGAACTAAATCTTTGTGTCGATTTCTTAAGAAGCTTTTTGTACTCAGCTTGATCAGGCTATTTTCCTCTTTAACTTTCGGCCGTGTAAACGGTAAGTATCCAAAGCAACGTTTTCTTTCTGACGCATGTTTGGTACAGAAGTTACGTTGTCTAATCCCCGAAACAAATGCAAACCGCAGCCAGTGATGAGGTTTTCTTTGTGGTTTTCACTTGAGGTTTGTTGAATTACACTTGACGACTTTTACGCAGGTACGCATTCACTGCAGACCTGCTACATTAATGCTGGCGGAGAAGCTACCACTCTGGCCGTAGGCTGCCTCATGTGCTTCTTGCTCTCTCCTCTGGGTGGACGAAGGACAACAGCCGAGGAGCCATGGGTGAGAAGAAGAAGAAGAAAGCATCTATGGTGGTGAAGCTGTGGGAGTTTCTCAAGAACGTCAGGCAAACTCCTGTTCCATTCGAGCCAGTCGAGAGCTGCGACTTCCTTGACAGGAGTGACGACTTGGTGGTTTCAGATTTGGAAGGCACTCTCCTCAGGTCAGCCAGCTATTTCCCGTATTTCCTCCTGGTGGCCTTCGAGGCCGGAAGCGTCCTCCGAGCAGCTATTCTTCTCTTCGCGTATCCGGCAATATGGCTTCTAGCATCCCAAGCGACAGCGATTCAGATAATGACTTTCATCTCCTTCATCGGCATCAAGGTGTCGGTGATCGAGCGAGTTGCGGTGGCCGTGCTCCCGAAGTTCTACCTGGAAGATATGCACCTCCACGCCTTTCGGGTCTTCACGGCTTGCGGCACCAAGTACGTGATCACGGCGTCGCCTAGAGTGATGGTGGAGCATTTCCTCAAGCACTACCTGGGAGTGGACGTGGTGCTGGGGACCGAAGTTCACGTTGCTCGAGGCGGCTTTTGCACGGGATTTCTCCAGAGCCCGGGAGTTCTAGAAGGGGGAAACAAGGCCTTTGCTGTGCGGAAGTACCTGCGAGACAGACTACCGGACCTGGCATTGGGCTGCAAGAGCACGGATTTTCCATACATGGCACTGTGCAAGGTCAGTTTTTTTTCTTTTCGTGTTCATTGGCTTGCTCTTGCTAACAGACACTTTGTTTTTTTTCTCCCAGGAAGCCTTCGTCGTTCTAAACAGCTCCAATGCCCCGGCGGTACCGCGGGACGAGTACCCAAAGCCGCTCATATTCCACGACGGTAGAATCGCGTGCCGCCCGACTCCAGCAAAAGCTCTCACGCTCCTCCTCTGGTCGCCAGTCGGCATCCCCCTCGCATTCCTCCGCGGCTCGGTGCCGCTCCTCATCAACGACACCCGCATCGTCGTCCTCGTCTGCGCCTTGCTCGGCGTCCGCATCCGCGTCAACGGCGCACCGCCCACCACCAGCAGTACCAACAAAGGTGGCGGCACGCTCTTCGTCTGCTCGCACCGCACGCTGCTGGACCCGGTGTTCCTCTCGGGCGGCGTGCAGCGCAGGGTGTCGGCCGTGACGTACAGCATCAGCCGGGTGTCCGAGGTGCTGGCCCCGATCAAAACGGTCCGGCTCACACGCTGCCGGAGCCAGGACGCGCGGCGCATGCACAACATCCTCTTGGACGAGTGCAAGGATCTGGTGGTGTGTCCCGAGGGGACGACGTGCCGCGAGCCATACTTGCTGCGATTCAGCTCTCTCTTCGCGGAGCTGTCCGACGCGATCGTCCCGGTAGCCATGGACGCCCGCGTCCAGCTCTTCTACGGCACCACCGCTCGCGGCTGGAAGGCGCTCGACCCGCTCTACTTCCTGATGAATCCCCGGCCCGAGTACGAGATGTGGTTCCTGGATCAGCTGCCGTGGGAGATGACTTGCGCGGCCGGGAACTCGGCTCACGACGTTGCGAACTTGATCCAGAGGAGGATCGCCGACAAGCTGGGATTCCAGTGCACGAACTTGACGAGGAAGGATAAGTACCTGATGCTGGCCGGGAACGAGGGCGGTGTCGCCAACAAGCAAAAGAGCTTGCGGCGGTCCATGAAGCGGCTGAGGAGCAAGATGGGGAGCTAAAGAATAGAGAAGCTCTCCTACCGACGTGGATCTGACGTGGTAGTGACGTGTGCCTTGTCACTTGAGAAGAATGATCCATGCGAGAATCTGAGCAGTACTTCTGATTGGTTTCCACAAGTGTTAGACTGCGAATCGTTTTGGCATCTCGTCTCTTTCCTGCGAAGCAGAGGTGCCGTGTTTCTCTGTGCTTCTCGAACTATAGGCTGCGTTGGAACTGAGATCCAGCATGGGAAACATCGTTTGTAGACTGATGTCCATGGTACCTTTCAACGACAAATGGGCAACAAGGACAGATTAGATGTATAGCCAATTGTTACACACTCCATGAGCAATGATCTTTGCTTTGAAATGGTTTTCCCGAAAGTTTCGTGTCAGCTTGCTGGTGGTGGATCCATTCGTGATAATCCGAAAGTGGACCAAAAGTTCTCACGAGCGTTCAAGGTTGACTCAATCTGAGGAACAAAATCAACTTACTTATAGCGAAGCTTCGAGGATCAAACTCTTAGTTCTTTCTTTGCTGTCCATGAAGAACGAGTATATATATCATCATGGAAGGCGATGGTCTGGATTCCAATTCCTGGAGCTCCCAACTGGCGGACAGCTCTAACAATCACGATCGCGATCACGGGTACGCACAATCTCTCTTTGATTCCTTCCTAGAGCTAGGCGATGCCGGTATCGATCATCAACAAACCGACAATGTGACCGAGATGCCACCCATGACAGATCTCAAAGCATCGATCGTCAAGTGCTGCGAAGCCATCGCCGCGAATGCCACCACCCAAGCCTACGCGCTCGTCAGCGAGCTGAGAGACAAGTCCTCTCCCACAGGAACCACGGTGGAACGCCTAGCCTTCTACTTCTCCGAGGCACTCGTAGCTCGAATCACTGGCACCGGGAGGCTGCTCTATAATACCTTCAAATCCAGGCGAACCATCGACGAGACCCTCCAGATCTTCTCCACAGTCTCGCAGACCTCCCCGGGCTTTGGGCTGCCAATCTTCTTCACGAACCAGACGATCCTGGACGAGACATCGTCGGCGGCCCGCGTGCACGTAGTCGATTTTGGAATCGGCCCGGGCTATCGGTGGCTGTGCCTGATCAAGGATTTCTCCGAGAGATCCGGCGGCCCGCCACACTTTCGTGTCACCGCGGTAGATCGACCGAGCAACTCCCTCTTTTTCCCCAGGGAAGATGTGGGTGGCAAGCTCGAGAGATTCGCCAGCAGCGTCGGCGTTCCATTCGAGTTCCACTCGGTCGTGACCGCCGAATGGGATTCGATCCAATCCTCGCAGCTGATGATCCAGCCGGACGACGTCCTGATCGTGACTTCATTCCACAAGCTGCGCGAGCTCTCGGACGATCCAAAGAGGAGGTTCCTGAGGAACATCCACGCGATGGAGCCCAAGCTCTTTCTCAACGCCGCCTTTCCTCCGGTGGGATTCAACTCGCCATCGCTGGTGGCGCGCGCGCGAGAGGCCTTCGACTTCCACGCGGGCGTGTTTGAAGCCATCGCCGCGTCGCTGGCGGAGTCGCGATTTGCGGGCGAGAGGAGGTTCCTGGAGCAGCTCCGCGGGCTGGAGCTGCTCAACACGTTGGCGTGCGAGGGCGAGGAGCGCGTGGAGAGGCCCGAGGGATACAAGCAGTGGCAGGAGCTGATGCGCGGGGCCGGTTTCGAGGGCTACGAGATCAAGCGCCATGTCTATGCTGGAGCGAAGAAAATGCTGGCGACGTACTCGAATGCGAGAGAGTATAGCGTGGGGCGCAGCGGGAATTGGATCCTCTTGCGGAGGAATCGGCAGGTCCTCATCGCTATTAGCAACTGGACTTGTTGAATTTGACTAAAGCTCACCGGAGATGCCAGCAGCAATGTAACGGCAGCTGGCGGCATGGCAGCGGTAGCGCGGCTAGATTGCTCATGCTTTGGTACTTATCTTACTGATCCTTCAATTACGAATTTCCAGTACCAAATTGAAGCATGGAATTTTTGTCAATTTCGTCTCTTTCATTTGGCCGGTCAACGGAAAGAGACTGCCGTGTTGAGCATTTCCTCCAACGCTTTGGTCATTCAACAGGCCATAAGCGAGAAAGTGAGTTCTCTCTCTTTTGCTTTCATAGATGGGAGTCCAAAGACAAGGTCTTAGATGCACACGTAACGCTGCGAGTAGGATCTTTTCGAAATGGTCGCTCTCAAGGAAATTTTCCTAAAGTTGGGGTGGTGTCTCCGTGGAAGCGGCTCGCTTGAGTAAGTCCTGTTTGTCCATTGAGACGAAGTAAGCCATGGTGGATTTCTAAGTTGCGAGTCATCCACAGCTTTGATAAACCTCTGGGCAACCTGGAGCAATCCCGAAGATTCCAACTGTGGACCACAAGTTCTGTTCTGATTTGCTGATCACGAGCATCATGGAATCCTCAAACTATTCTGTGAGGAAGGAACTGAGAAGCAAATGATCCTTCATTTGTAGCGCTATAAGTACCGTCAATAAGTACGGTGATCTGTCTAGATGGAAGGCGATGGTCTGCAATCCAACTGGAGCGAGTCCCAACCTGTGGCGGACAACTCTAACAATCAGGATCACGGGTACGCGCAATCCCTCTTTGACTCCTTCATAGAGCTAGACGATGCCGGTGACCATCAAATCGATCAGCAAACTGACAATCTGGTCCTCGATCAACAAACGGACGATCTGGTCGCGGCTGAGGAAGCCAAGCTCATGAGATATCTCAAAGCATCGATCGTCAAGTGCTGCGAAGCCATCGCCGCGAATGCCACCACCCAAGCCTACGAGCTCGTCAGCGAGCTGAGAGACAAGTCCTCTCCCACAGGAACCACGGTGGAGCGCCTAGCCTTCTACTTCTCCGAGGCGCTCGTGGCTCGAAGCACTGGCACCGGGAGCCTGCTCTACAATGGCCTCATCAAATCCAAGCGACCCATCGACGAGATCCTCCAGTTGTTCGCCACAGTCGCGGAGACCTCCCCGGGCTTTGGGCTGCCAATCTTCTTCACGAACCAGACGATCCTGGACGAGACATCGTCGGCGGCTCGCGTGCACGTAGTCGATTTTGGAATCGGTCCGGGCTATCGGTGGCTGTGCCTGATCAAGGATTTCTCCGAGAGATCCGGCGGCCCGCCACACTTTCGCGTCACCGCAGTGGATCGACCAAGCAACTCTCTCTTATATCCCAGGGAGGATGTGGGCGCCAAGCTCGGCCGCTACGCCAGCAGCCTCGGCGTTCCATTCGAGTTCCACTCGGTGGTGACTGCCGACTGGGATTCGATCGGACCATCGCAGCTCATGATCCAGCCGGACGACGTCCTGATCGTGACTTCATTCCACAAGCTGCGCGAGCTCTCGGACGATCCAAAGAGGAGGTTCCTGAGGAACATCCACGCGATGGAGCCCAAGCTCTTTCTCAACGCCGCCTTTCCTCCGGTGGGATTCAACTCGCCATCGCTGGTGGCGCGCGCGCGAGAGGCCTTCGAGTTCTACGCCGGCATGTTTGAAGCCATCGCCGCGTCGCTGGCGGAGTCGCGATTTGCGGGCGAGAGGAGGTTCCTGGAGCAGCTCCGCGGGCTGGAGCTGCTCAACACGTTGGCGTGCGAGGGCGAGGAGCGCGTGGAGAGGCCCGAGGGATACAAGCAGTGGCAGGAGCTGATGCGCGGGGCCGGTTTCGAGGGCTACGAGATCAAGCGCCATGTCTATGCTGGAGCGAAGAAAATGCTGGCGACGTACTCGAATGCGAGAGAGTATAGCGTGGGGCGCAGCGGGAATTGGATCCTCTTGCGGAGGAATCGGCAGGTCCTCATCGCTATTAGCAACTGGACTTGTTGAATTTGACTAAAGCTCACCGGAGATGCCAGCAGCAATGTAACGGCAGCTGGCGGCATGGCAGCGGTAGCGCGGCTAGATTGCTCATGCCTTGGTACTTATCTTACTGATCCTGCAATGCGAGCAGCAACGGAGCGGCAGCTGGCGACATGACAGAGGTAGCGCCGCTCTTCCCGTGCGGTTTCGGGGCAGGTAAGCGCGCATTGCTCTATGCTGGATTGCTCATGCTTTGGCTGCTCGTGGTTTAGATCGAAGCAGCTGTCGTGCACAGCTAGGGCGTCGAAAATGCAGCAGAGTAGTTTCTCTAGCGAGCGGTTTTGGTCCCCGGATGCAACGATTCATGATGGATTGTGGTCGATTAGGTACTCTACTGGAGCGATTGAGAGATTTTTTTAATTTTCTTTCTCTTCGCAGGAGAGATTTGGAGGTGCCGCCCTCGGCATATCTGGGAGGTGCTTACGCTGCTGGGCAAGGCCAAGGTCCACCTCCCATGCTACAAGAGCGCTTTCAGAGTGTTATCACTCAGCTCTTCCAGCACGTAAGTTTGTCGTTTGATCTGTTTTGTAAATTTTCCTTGCTTGATACTTTCAGCGGATAATTCGATGCGGTGGAGCTGTTGACGATGATATGGCAAATCTCATTGTTGCGCAGCTTCTCTATCTGGATGCTGCGGATCCAAAGAAGGTTTGTGGGTTATAACATGTAGAAGATGGTTAAAGCTCGATTGGTTTTTGTAGGATATTGTCATGTATGTAAATTCACCTGGAGGTTCCGTTACCGCTGGTATGGTTTTTTTTTTTTTTCCCTATCGAGTTGTCAGCTAACAATTTATTTTCTTTCTGCTCAGGAATGGCCGTGTTTGACACCATGAGGCACATTCGTCCGGACGTGAGTACTGTATGTGTTGGTCTCGCTGCAAGGTTTGCTTCTCAGTCCTATGTGACTAGTTTTCTAAACACATTTCTCAGTCCTATGTGACTAGTTTTCTAAACACATTTCATCTCTTTCATGGTTTTGTAGTATGGGTGCTTTTCTTCTTAGTGCAGGCACAAAAGGTACTCTACACACTTAATGATTTTTTTTTCTCACGTCTGCCATTTTGAAACTCCAGGAAAGCGTTATAGTTTACCAAATTCTAGGATCATGATTCACCAGCCGCTCGGTGGCGCTCAAGGACAGCAGTCCGACATTGAGATCCAGGTACACAAGCGATGAGTTCGCATTCATGGATGGAGTAACTGACATTCAAAATGACGACAGGCCAATGAAATCTTGCATCACAAAGCGAACTTGAACAGCTATCTATCTTATCACACCGGGCAGCCACTGGAGAGGATAATTCAAGACACCGACCGGGATTTCTTCATGAGTCCCAAGGAAGCTCAAGAGTATGGCCTCATTGACGGCGTCATTTCCAATCCACTGAAAGCGCTATCACCACTTCCAGCTCCGGCAGCAGCTTGAGGAGAGGTAATTGCATTTCTTCATTCTTTTCTCTTGCTGTTCTTTCTAAACCAACGAAGTTCTCTTCTAGGAACGAAATAACGAGCGGAGCTTATTCTACTTCGTGATTGATTTGGTGTACTGGTAGTACTGGTACTTCATGATGGGAACTTCGTCAGCTCCATTCCCCGTGATAAAGAAGTAAAGGTAGCCGGCTATGAAGGCCGTGAGAAAGAGCGAGAGCACGGCGATCCAGAGCTTACTTCGGAATAGTTTGGCCAGGGATTTCTCTAGGCCTACTGGTGAGATTGCTTGGTCTTCTTTTTCTTCTGTGGATTCTGGCTTGTTGGTAGCTCCTGCCACAATAGATGGATTTCTTAGCATTCTAGAATTCTTTGTTGTGTAGATTTGCATTGGAATTCTTATTCTCGTTGCTTTGGTGAAGGGATGAATTGAAGAACACAACGTTGGCGCGTGGAAGAGAAGCGAAGAACACAACGCTGGAGCGTGGAAGAGAAGCGCCATAGCAAGCCCTCTTTTCTATCTTTCTAAGTTTTTATAGGATGTGATGGACGGCCAAGATTGATTCTCCAACGGAATAGCCACATCAGATCTTTTATATGTCTGGTTTGCCCTAACCCCATATATCTGAAAGGGAAAAAAAAAAGAGAGAAAACAGGGGAGAGCTGTACGCGACGCAATCGGGGTGTGGCGCTGCAGATCCATGGTAAGAGCATCCAATTCTGCGATCCAGAGGTCTCTGGTAGAGTAATTTGTGATCTTCTTGCCGAATGCTCCAGGAATTTGGAGGACCCCGGATTCATCCATAGCGCGCGCGCGAGAGAGAGCGAGAGAAGCGAGGGATTGATTGGCATTGCTCTAGGGATGGCTGACTTTGGGGCTAGATGGAATTACGCTACTGCTGACAGGAGGACTCCATCGCCCTCGCCAAAGAGACCCCGACGAGACTACGGTAAAATTTGTTTTGGTTCTTTCTCTTTCTTTGTTAACTTCTTCTTTCACTCAGAGAGAACTTACGATGATCGAGGTGGCTGGGGAGGCCGCGAAGGCGATCAACTCACAACATCCTCGGATCTCTTGCGCAACGGGGTAGATCTTTCACAATGTGGAGAAAACAAAACACACAGCTTTCGTGTTTTTTCGGCAGCTTTCTTTTGCGGGACTTTCCTCGGACTTGGGATTGTCTGGAGTCGGGCTCGGTGTGAGTGGTGCTGCCAGTTTGAGCGCTCTCGGGGCCGGGCTATCAGCGCTGGATGATTCGTCGCTGATCACGCAAACTTCCCAGATGATGGGATACGACGTTGCCTGCTTAACCGGAGCTCGATCCAACTTGAGCATCAACACCAGCGATGGCCTCCCTCACGACGCATCCTCCACTCTTTTCGTGGATGGATTGCCATCGGACTGTACGCGCAGAGAGGCAGCACGTATCCTTTCAGTGATCGTTTCTCGATTTCTCTCATATGGTTTTGTGGCCTTGACTGGGAGTTGTCTCAGATATCTTCCGGCCATTCATCGGTTTCAAAGAAGTCCGGCTTGTTCACAAGGACGCAAAGAGAGTAAGATCTTCCTTGTTCTCGAAAGTTTCGTCAAAGGTTTTATCGAAAGATTTTCGTCTTGTGCTGCGCAGACAACCGGGGAGAAGCTGGTCTTGTGCTTCGTGGAGTTCATGGATGCCAAGTGCGCGGCCACGGCCTTGGAAGCCTTGCAAGGTAGAGTGCTCGCGTTCTTCTTTCCTTTTACGTTTTGCTTCCTGCTTTGGGTCACCATGATCATGCTCCTCCCTGCTGGTGTTTCTTTAAGTCCCTGGGACGGGCCTGGGAGTTGTAGCCCCTGGGAAACTCACACTTTTCCAGCTTGTACTATCATTTTGCCAAGGGACTGGCTTGGCATTCTTCGAACTTTTCCTAAACGAAACGTTAAAAAAGAAGAGAAAGAGAAAAGAATGAGAATGAGTAAACAGAGGAAAGGAACGATCATGGTCTAAAGAACCAACCTTGAGAGCTTTCCCAGAACTTAAAAACCGTGCGCGGGCCTTGCAGGTTATAAGTTTGATGAGAATGATCCCGATTCGTACGTTTTGCGACTTACGTTTGCTCGATACGGCCCGAGAGGTGCTCCGCGATCTCGATCCCCGCTTAGAGTCCGAGACCGAGCACAGTTTACCAGCAACACCAACAACAATCGCAGAGATCGACGCCGTTAAAAATTCTCTCTAGAGAAGGAAAGAGATTGAGAGATTGAAGAGAGAGAGAGAGAGAGAGAGAGACGAGAACCTCCTTTGTTTTGTCACCACCACCTTGAGCTTTTTCTCGCTTTTCTCCACACCCTCTTCGAGATCTTCGTGTGGAACACGAACGAATAAAAGTAGTCAAGAGAGTGAGAGAGCTTTCCAAAACTTTCTCCTTTCTTTTCCTTCTTGCTGCTGCTAAGTTACTATGGCTGTATAGAGGACGAAGAGTTAGCTACACAGAGATCTTCACTAGAGCTTACTTGGTATGCTATGGTTGCTTCGCAGCTATGGTGCCATGCTTAACTTGGGCTACTTCGCAGCTATGGTGTCATAAACTGCCTCGCGGCAAGACTGGCTCGTGGATCGCCGTAGCTGTTTCGCAGCAGCGCGATGACTCCATTCTTTTGCTTGATCTGCGACTTGAGGCTCTCGATCTCCTTCTCGAGCTTCTCGGCTTTCCTCGCCTTCTCCTCGTCCTGATCCGCGTCGATGGCGCGAGTCAGCTCCTCCACCCGAGCTTTGAGCCCGGTGTTGTCTTCCTTCGCCCTCTTGAGCTCCTCCACGGCCTTGTTAAGCTCCTCCTGGAGCTTGCTCGCGTGTTCCTTGGACTTGTCGAGCTCCTCTCTCTGTGTCACTTCTGCCGCGTTGGCTGCTTCCAGAATTCCCACTTTCGAGTAGAGCTGGTATATTGCGAGCTTGAGCTTGAATACCTCGGTCTTCCTCATCCTGTTCTTGCTCACCAGCAGCTTGAGCCCCTCGTCGAGATCGTCCGGGACAGTGATCGGCTCCTTTGGAGGCGCTGTGAAAGTCCTTCGTTGGTTGGATGAAAATGAAGGAAACAAACCATTACCTTCGATGGTCTCCATCTCCGGAAGCCCGTCACCGTGAGAGAAGTCGGCGTCCATTTCGTAGCATACGGCCCTCGTAACCTGTGAAAAAGAAAGTGGATATAAACCACGATGGCTATGGCTTCTACACAAAAGAGAAAGAAAGAAGTAGAAGAAGAAACTGTGATAAAGGACATGGAAGAAACTCTAGCAGAACGAAGAAACACGGAATAGATCACACAAGCACAGAGGAAGGTAGAACCAGAAACAAGAGAAAGAATAGATCAAAGATCATAGCACTCAAACGAAGAAAAAACTTCTTCGCAAATGTAGCACGATCCATCAAAACGAGCAAACCAAAGATCATAGCACTCGAACCAGGAGAGTAGAAGCAAAGAAGGAGAAAAAATCCTAGCACGATCCAAGCGAATAGACCAAACAAAAGAATCGTCACGAACCTCTTTCCAGTTGTCGTCGAGGCTTTCCTCCTCTTCCTGTGGAGCGGGAGTAGGAGGAGTGATGGGCGCAGTACCGTCCTCGCTCACAGCCACAACCACATTCTCGATCTCTTCCAAGCTCACCACCATATCCTCGCGCGATCCCGGGGCTTTGGCTTCGCCATCCGACAATGTCACCTTGGCGCTGCTCGTGCACGATCGGAGATTCCTTGCCGTGGAGGGAGCCGGGCCGCGGCGCTTGCGACCCTTAGCCTGCTTCCCCCCATCGTCCTTGGCCATGCTTCTCCTCCTTTCTTTTAAACCCTTTTAGGGTTCTTGAGCTTTGCAATGGGTATAGTAGATCAATCGCGGCTTCTCCAGGAGGGGCTCCTCCAGCGGCATGTGATGGCGCTCATTGTCTCGTATCTCCGGGACAATAATCTCAACCAGGTAATCGATCCTCGTCCTTGCGAGCGCCTGGAAATTCTCCATGATTCTTCGTTCCAGGCAGCCACTGCGGTCGCAAATGCGACCATGATCCCTCTTAACATCGAGCTTCCTCCAAACAAATTGCTGGAGCTTGTCCAGAAGGTCGCCAATTCTTCTACCTTCCATTCTTTCAGACGATTCTCGCGAATTCTTCTAACGTTTTTTACTCTGTAAGCAGGGACTTGCCGTCGAGAGTAGCGCTCCAGCGAGGGGGTCAGCTTCCATCGACGCTGGGACGAGTTCTATCGGATATGGCCCTCTTCCAGTCCTACCATCGAGACTCACCGATTTCAAGTACTTTCTCTCTTTTTCGATCTAGCATTGTGCTACTCTTTGGCAGCTCGTTACAAACAGGCAAACGCGCGTCCAAGTTCTTCCCAAAGCTTGTCTCCCAGCAAATATCGGAGCATAAGGTAGCGCACTACTTTGTTCACGTGAAAGTAAGTTTTCACGCTAACGTTTTCTCTTTTCTTTGTTTCAGAATGCCGCACGGTGTGCTCGATTCAGCCCGGATGGCCGGCTCGTCGCAACAGGAGGAGCCGACGCATCAATCAAGCTGTTTGAAGTATGTTTAGTCTTTCTAGTGTTCACCTTTCTTCTTCTTTCGGCCGATATCTTCCTTTGTTTTTCTTGTTTTGGAAGGTTGAAAAGATACAGCAAATGATGCTCCCAGATGTAGGATCGATCAGACCGGCCATCAGGACGTTTTTCGATCATATACATGCAAGTCTTCTTTCGATTTTGTTCTTGCTTACTTGAGGCTTTCGACGCAGCCTATTAACGATCTAGACTTCCATCCTCAAGCTCATATTCTTGTTTCTGGTGCTAAGGACCGCACTATCAAGTAAAGCGAATTAGCCTTTTGAAACTTCTCTGATGTAAGATGACTACAGGTTTTTTGATTTCGCAAAAACTTCTGCTCGCCGAGCCGTCAAAGCGATTCAAGTATGCTGGTTTTTGTGAAACTTTGAAATGATCGAGGTCTAACGCTTTGGCTTTGCTTTTCAGGACACACACAACGTGCGGTCAGTTTGCTTTCATCCATGCGGGGATTTTTTGCTTGCTGGTAAGCATTCGATGGGAAGTTATAAATTCACGCTAATGTTTTTGCCAGGAACGGACCATCCAATACCTCATCTCTATGACTCAAACACGCTTCAGTGCTATGTATCAGCCTCCCTTCAAGAGAAGCATGTTGGTAGTGCTATAAACCAGGTGCGAATTATGCTTAATATTTTGTGAGATTGATGGACTAGTTCAACCGCAGGTAAGATTCTCGGAGAGCGGAGGCCTTTATGTTACAGCAAGCAAAGATGGCGGTGTTCGCTTCTGGGATGGAAAAACTGCTCGGTGTGTCAGGGCGATTCAAGGTGCTCATGTTTCAGCTGAAGCCACAAGCGCCGTTTTTACAAGAGATCAAAGGTCGTGATAGACTACTGCTGCTGGTCCCTAAGCTTTTCGATGGTTTGTGTTGCAGATACGTGCTTTCGTGCGGCAAAGACCTTGCAGTAGTACTGTGGGATGTAGGCAGCGGTAGGCAAGTCAAGCGTTACATTGGCAGCCAACACTCTCAGACGAGATGCCAGGTTTTTCGAAGTGGTCCCTCTGGACTTTCATGATCATTGTGCTGCTTTCAGGCGGTCTTCACTCACAACGAAGAATTCGTTTTGTCCAGCGACGAACCGAAAGGCGAGGTATTCTAGATGAGCTCCATAAACATTCATGCTCACCACGTTTATCTTTTCAGGTTGTCGTGTGGGATGCTCTTACTGGTGACCTCATGAGTCGGCTCAATTCGAATCACGCCGGTGCCCTTCGCTGTATCGAGCATTCTCCAAGTGAAGCTTGCTTTGTAACATGTGGAAGTGATCGTACCGTGAGATTCTGGCAAACAGCGAGGTAAGCTTGCTACTGCACTGATGTTAGACACTTCACTCACAAAATGCTTTCCCCGACAACTCCATTACAGGTGAAGATCTTCTCGTGCAAAATCTCTCGACAACACCGACAAACAATCTCCTACTTCAGCTTTTTCCTGCATGGAGTTTGCGACATTCCGGATCATCTCCGAGAAGCATTCGATTTCCACCGCAAGTAGATCTTGCTATCAACCAGGTGCGAAGCTTGATACTCCGACAATCTAACTCAAGCGCAGTGGAAACTGGAATGCTTCTTGCCACAGTCCTTTTCCCTTTCGGTGCTTCTCAGCGTTGTGACGAACACTCGGCTCCAGTGCTTCCAAGTTAGTAACGTTTTGAGAAGGAAGACAAATACGAAAGAATCTCCTATAAATTCTCGTTAAGGCAACGATTTAAATACTCCACGAGTTTTCTTTATCCTCTCAGTGGCGTTTGTATAAAACCCTATTTATCGCGAGCGGCATGGAGCGGGAGAGTGTGGAGCCGGACAAGATCGACGGGGCGTTGGAGATGAAGGCGCTCCGGAGAGTCATTGCCACCTATCTCAAGTGAGTCGAGGATCTCTTCCTCCCAAAACCGGCATTGATTCTTCCTTCTCCGATTTTTGGCTTTGGATGATTCCAGCTATGCGAGCTCCGCAGAGGATGATGTGAGACGATGGGAGCGATCGTACTCGCGATTACCGTCAAGGCAAAAGGTTTGGGAATTTGGAGAGAGCCATTGAGTTTCTTCTTCTTCGCTTTTCCTTTTGTAGGAGCTTCTAAGTCATCTGCCAAAGAAATATGCCGAAGTGAGGAGGTACTCTTCTTGTTGAGAAAAAAACGATTTGTGTTCCATCTTTCTATCTATCAGGTGTATTTCAAGGAATTTCCATCTCATATCCACAATGCTTCGGGTACTCGTTTTATTTCTTCTCTTATTGTGATGAAAGAAGCTTTTTCCTCTCGCAGTACTTTGAGCCTCCTTTCGAAATGAGCGACGACGAACAACAGTTTGAGCATGTTTCCGATGCTGGGAATGAGGACGTTACGACTGCTGGTTGCAAAAATCACAAGAAAGACCACGAGAATGCAAACGGTTGGAAAGATTGTCGTAGCGAAACGAGCGTTAGTAACAAGAGACTAGCAGTTGAAAACGAGGGAACAAAGTCTGCAGTCGAGGTGCAAGGCTCGTACGAGGTATGCTTTTTTTTTTCTTCTTTTGTTCAAGTTCTGGAGAGTTTGCTTTTATGTTCTTAAGATGGATGACTTCCATTTCGGATCTCGAGAAATGCCAAATTCAACCGGTGGTTTTCATTTTGAGGACAATACCGACCAACACTTGCACGTCAGACCGTCAGATGTTGATAAGGTTCGTGGGCCTTTGGAGTTTCTCATTCTTGCAACTATCCTCTGTACTTGTGTAGGTCCGTTGCGTTCTTCGAAACATTGTAAGAGACTGGACAAAAGAGGTAGAGGTTTTCGAGTTTATCTAGTGTTCTTCTTTTCCTGATTAGTTTTCTTCACAGGGAGCTGGTGAGCGTGACAAGTGCTATTCGCCGCTGCTACAAGAGCTTCAGTCATGGTTTCCAAATATTGATCCCGAGGCGTACGTTTGTTTACTCACAAAATCTCTTGATTCACTCTTGAAAATCTCGCAGGAGACCAAGCTGCTTAGTTCCTGGAGCGGGACTGGGACGACTAGCCTTGGAGATATCACGACTAGGTAATCTAATCTATACTATCAAGGTTTGATGGTTTCTACAAGGTGTTTTTCAGGGTTCATGTGCCAAGGGAATGAGTTTTCATATTACGTGCTCATTTGCTCGAGTTTTATCCTTAACCAGTAAGCGATTTCATTTTCTGTAGAGCGAAGATTAAAAGTGTGCAATGCAGGACTGTCGAGCCGGACGAATTTGAGATGCACCCGTGGATACACAGCAACTGCAACAAAATTTCGGACAAGGATCAGCTCCAATCTGTACGCTTTCCTGATGTTCACCCTGGAAGGTTTTCTAGTTCCAGCAGCGATCTTACAGTTCAGCTCATGGATATCCAGATAACAGTGCAGGAATTACTGAAGGCTTTTCGATGTGTGCCGGTGATTTTCTGGAGGTTTATGGCCACGAGAGCCAAACAGGTTAGCCTTGCTTTCAAGGAAAAAACCAAAAACAATCGTTTCTTTCTCAAAGTTTTTCGTTTTTTGTGTTTTACAGGTGCCTGGGATGCTGTCGTGACTTGCTTCTTCATCGACACGGCGCACAACGTCGTGGACTACATAGAAGTGATTCACAAAGTTCTCAAGCCCGGTGGTGTAAGCATCGATGTTTATGTTTTTCTTCTTGATATCTAAGAAGTTAGTGGAGTTTTTTTCGTGCCAGGTGTGGATCAATCTGGGGCCCCTTCTCTACCACTTCGCTGATGCTCACGAATTCTCCTCCCACGACGTAAGCCCTCTATAATTTTTTCGTTTCTTCTATCAGCAATCTTCCTCGTTTTCTAGGAAATCTCCATAGAGCTGAGCTTGGAGGACGTGAAAAAAGTAGCTTTTAGCTATGGATTCGAGCTCAAGGTAAAAGTCTCCAGTGCTTTCTCATCGATTTGATCCATGTCCTCTTTTTTTCTCGAGCAGAAGGAATCCACAGTGCAAAATACATACACTTCGTGCCCAACTTCGATGAGTCAGGTGGGTTTCATTCAATTCCTCAATCAAAAGAGTGATTTTGGTTATCGCTTGAGGTTTTTTTCTTACTTGGTTTTTTTTCTCCAGCATTTGTACTACTCGTCGTTCTGGACGATGATCAAACGCTGACATCCATTTTTCTATCTTGTCAGCATAAGTATCGCGTTTTTTAGAATATTTACTTGAAGCACGGCGTTTGACTAGGGTTTATAGAAGCTGGGGTTTTCTTCCGGGATCAGGGTATCTCGATCGCGCAACTATGAGCCAGGGAGAGAAATCAGAGGCGCCGCTTAGGTCTTCTAAGGTAATCCTCCTCTCGCGTCTCTCTCTCTCTTTCGCGCCGATTGATCCGCCTCCTTTTGTCAGCCAAATCCGTTTGGAGCCGCGCGGCCGCGAGAGCAAGTGATTGCCGAGCGCCTGGGGAAGAAAGAGACCGAGATCTTGAAGGAGCAGGCACAGCGCGACTGGAAGCCCAATGTATGTTAAAAAGTTTTCGGCTTGAAGATCGCCTTTCCTTTTGTGTTTATTCTTCCAGGCTAAACTCACGGAGGCGCAGTATGAAGAGAAGAAGGCCGCCGAGGCGGAGCTCGCCTATGCTCGAGGCGATCTGGAGAAGGCTGTGGATCCTTTGAAGGTGAAAGAGATCCAAGAGGACATCGCTCTTAAAGAGAAGAAGCTCGACGAGCTGCTAGCGAGTTTTGAGGTGACGTTTTTGAGTTTTGATTTTTTCTTCTCTCTTTCGGTTCTCATTCTTTGATGCAGCAAAACGTGAATGTGAGGTCTTCTGCCCCGAGAAGGAGAGAAGAACCTCTCGAGAACCCGGAGTATGGGAACTTCAGCAGGGGTGGTCGTGGCCGCGAGCAGCAGCCTTACGCGGAGACTCAAGAGTATGGAAGCTTCAGTAGAGGACGACCGCGTGAAAGTGATCGAGGAGGAGCCAGCGCGTATGGTGATGCATGGGGCGGCTCGAAAGGGAGGAGCAGCCAATCTCAATGCTACTCGTGTGGAGAGGTAAGTTCTCGTCTTTCTGGCCTTGTTTGTTTTCATTGACTTTTCCAAGCCTGGATTGTTTATTCAGTCTTTTGTTTGGTTTCTGCTGTGCTTGTGCTTTGTTTTCCAGAAAAGAAAAATGTTTGGTTTCTTTCTTTGACATGTTTTGATGGTTTTGTTACTCTCCAGGTTGGTCATTTCTCTCGCGAGTGTCCCAACAATGTCCGTGGTGGTTCTGGTGCTGGTGGTGGCGGCGGCTCGAGCTATGGCGGAGGTTTTGGTGGTCGCAGCGGCGGCGGAGGGGGCGCCAAATGCTACAACTGCAACGAGGAGGGGCACATTGCTCGTCAATGTCCGCAGGCCAGCGGAGGCTATGGTGGTCGAAGCTACGGAAGTGGTGGCTATGGAGGAGGAGGAGGCGGTGGTGGCGGTGGTGGCTACAGCGACTACAGGAATCAAGGATATGACAACTTTGGCGGAGGGCGGTGAAAGCTTGGGAGAGTCTCGACCACCGTGTACATTACAATTGTGCTGCTACTTGGTCAGTTTTGGGTCTGCGATTGGCAGATAGTTTTCCTGCTGTTCTTCTTTGGTTTTCCATGCTTCTGTATCTTTCGTTTGTGCTTTGCAAGCTAACTCTCTTATTGAGCGCTTTCCTTGTTCTTAAGCTTTGCAGTTCTTCCTGTGGCAATTTTTATTTTTATTTTTTTTTTGTGCTGTTTATTAGCTGTGTAGCACTGGCTAACCATGTGAAAGTCTGGCTTATTTTAATTCGTTTTGATCGCAGCTGCTGACAATCCGATGAAAAGGTAAAGTTTCTTCTCTCTTTTCTCTCGTAAAGCTAATCCTTTGCCTTGTGCAGCTGCTGCTATGATCATCACTCGCAAAAGGCCACTCTCATTCAGGTTCGCCAGTCTGTGCTCGTAAAGCTTTTCAGATCATCCAGAGGCTTCGTTAAATGCTGAAGCGGAAACCAGAGAAATCTCGATCAGTGTCATGTTTGATCACACAGTTCCAGCAAAGATCTTTGGGGTTTTTTCGTTGGCGCTCGATCAGTGTCATGTTTGATCACACAGTTCCAGCAAAGATCTTTGGGGTTCGTTGCGAAAAATCGCAAAGATTTTTCGTTGGAGAAGTTCGCTGCTAGCTCCAAGCTTGTTTTAAATGATCTCGCCACTGCTAAAGTCTGAAACTACAACGAGGAAGTTCTTCAAGAGTTCTGTTTGATCGTTCTCTTGTCTTCATAACGCAGCAAAGGATAAAAACTAACTGGATATAATTCTTTCCACCGCGGTGAAATCTTATTTTATATTTTTAACCCAAGCACCAATTTAATTGGTCGAGAGAGGAGACGAGAGAGCGAGCGAGTAGGGTTTTTGGAAGCGCTCTCCTCGCGGACGCGATGTGGATCTTCTCCAGGTGAACGCGCGCGCCGCTCTCCCTCCCCCCTCGCATCCGCCTTGGATCTCCGGCGGCGGCGGCGATGGAGGAGTAGAATCCGAAGATCAGGGGCCGGATCGCGGCTGTGATGCATGGCTTTTCGCCAAGGCAGCGGCGCCCCGATGGTGAACGGGGATCACAAGTCCAATGCGCCTGCCAGATCGTCGGCCCGGGGCCACGACAGTGATGTGGAAAGCAATGGTAGCAGGGGCCGGGTAAAGAAGGCGCCACGCAAGGGCAGGCAGTGCTCCGCGGGTCTCTACTTGGCGATTTTGCTGGGAGTGGTGGGATTCACGCTGCTGGGGAGTGATTTCATCGGGCGGGCTTTGGTCGTTGTTCCTGGTAAGTGGAGTTCTAGTCTTTGTGTGGCGACATTTAGCGATTTCTTTGTAGGGGACTTGGGGACTAAGGACGATTTTTTCAATCACCCGGTATGCTTCCTGTCTGTTGTTTTCTAGTTTCTTATTTGCTCCCTTGTGGCTTTTAGGATACCTTTGAAGAGATCCGGAAGCACGGTCTCAAGCACCATCGAGGTAAGCATTCTTGAGCCTCCGGTTTGATTTAGGAATGAAAGGTCTTAAGAGTCTTTCGTGTTTGGTGTCTTGGTTGATCAGTAACTAGAGGACAAACACGGAAAGTCGAGCCCGGGTTACACTTTGGTCAGGCTATTCGTGGTCGAGAAGGCGACAGGGACTCCAGGGACTGGGATACCGATGACAGGAACAGGGATATAGAAGGGAGCTTTGAGGAAGAGTATGCGAGGCTTCAAAAGGAGCTGCAGCGGAACCAAGTGCAGGAAAATCAGGCCGAGCTTAATGACAAGATTCTTTCAAGTAACAGTTCCGGGTCGGCTGCGGAGGACAGCTTTTCGAAAGTTCCGGGTTTATCGTATGAAAGAGGGCGGAAAGAGCTTAGGAAATACGAGAAGCAGTACGAGGACGATCTCCTTCGAGAATCGAATGCAACAGAGGCTGATAGGGATTTTGACGACATGGAAGATGAATACGAAGAAAGTGAGGCAATGGTCGTAAGGAGGGCAGGGAAAAGTATGCCAGCAGTTCAAGAAACCGTAACATCAGAACAGAAGCATTTAAGGCCACCCCGAAAGCACCGAGGAGGTACGTTTCTAATTCCTTAGAAGAGCGGAGGAACTGGGTTGGGTTTACGTTGCTTAGTGATGAGGTACATGAGCGTTTGTAAAGTCAAGGGAGAAGGTGACTGCTGCAGGACTTAGCTAGACTTTGCGTGCGTTTCCGAGATTTATGATTCTCACCTGCTTCGTTTGGGTGTATTCCAGCATGCGAGATAAACTTTGCAAACTTGAGCAACGTCCATGAACCAGACAACAGCTCAAAATTCGCTCGCTTCGATCTGAAGTATGTTTCGAAGGAAGAAATGCCGCTTAACGAGAGCTCTTGGACACCAAGATTTGCCGGTCATCAAACCTTAGAAGAAAGGGAGGACTCGTTCCGTGTGGCGAACAAGACTATACACTGTGGTTTCGTCCGAGGGCCCGATCCATCCGAGAGCGCTGGTTTTGACCTCAGTGATAAGGATACAGAGTACTTGGCGGGTTGTCGGGTTGCCGTATCATCCTGCATCTTTGGCAAATCTGATAAGCTCCATTCGCCTAGAAAACGAAAGGTATGTAAGTTTGTTTCCTAAACCTCTCGCTCCATGAACTGAGTTTTCTTTCTGTTTCCAGGTCTCTAGCCCGTTGAAGAAAGAAGTATGTTTTGTTTTGTTCGTGGATCAATTAAGCCTGGATGTGATGCTTGAAGAAGGTCAAGTTCCTGATGAGAACGGATTCGTTGGCATCTGGCGGGTAGTACTAGTTTCAAATCTGCCGTATGCAGATTTTCGTCGGGTTGGAAAAATTCCCAAGCTTCTTTCGCATCGCCTATTTCCATTCGCGAGGTATGAAACACTTCTTTTTCCTGCGGTGATGCAGCTTCCTTTTGTTTCAGATATTCCATTTGGCTGGACAGCAAGCTGAGGCTACAGGTCAATCCGTTGTCTATTCTGGAATACTTTCTCTGGCGTGGAAATCACGAGTATACAATCTCAAACCACTATGATCGTCACTGTGTCTGGGACGAAGTACAGCAGAACAAGAGGCTCAACAAGTTCAATCACTCCTTCATCGACGAGCAGTTTCTATTCTATCAACAGGACGGCCTCACGAGATTCAATGCTTCAGATCCCAAGCGCCTCCTACCAAGCAGTAAGACATATACTGATCAGCTACAACCAGCGTACTCATTGACTTTTTTCTTCTCTCCAGACGTTCCAGAGGGCTCGATAATCGTTCGTTCACACACGCCAATGTCCAACCTTTTTTCCTGCCTGTGGTTCAACGAGGTAGACCGTTTCACCCCGAGAGATCAGCTAAGCTTCGCGTATACTTACATGAAGTTGGTTCGCACAAACATTGGCACTCGCTTCCGATTTGCGATGTTCAAGGTACGTAACTTCACTCATCGGATCCTTGTTTTCTAAACTTTTTCTTTATTGTTTGCTTCCCTCATCCACAGGACTGCGAACGAAAGACGATAGCGAAGCTATATCGTCATAGACAAGACGACAGAGCCAGTGTACAGTAGATAAAAGGAGAGACAGATTTTTAAAGTCCCCAACATTAATAGGCTGGACTGTGCCAAATGCAATGCGCTGAGCTGCGATGATCGACCACCTCTTTCCAATGCGGCATTGAAAAAACTGGCCAAGTAAGTGCCCTTTAATCTTATTTTTTCTAGCTTGTCAATGCTCTCCATGAATGGAAGTCTTGACGATCTCGTTTTTTCCAGGAGTTCTTCGTTGGGACATACATCACTACAGTGTAGCGTTTGATAAAAGAGATGGAGAGAAATTTTTTTTCCCAGTAATAAAAACGGGAGTAAACGTGTACGTATCGTGTGCGTCGGCTGCTCAACGGCCCAGATCGGCTAGGGAGGTAATAAGGAAGTAACTGACAGTCATAACCTACAACGCGACCACGTGTCGGGTAGTGACTAGTGCGCAGGAGCACCGGCCACCGTGGCGGAAAGTGCTAGCGTGGCTAGCAGTTTGGGAAGAGGAAGAGGTTCGGCGTGCGTGACTAGGCTCGGCGCAAGGCTTCGCTGGAGGTCCGGTAGAGACAGGGAAGAGAGAAGAGAGAAGGCTATGGAGGACGAGGCAGTGGACTGTTTAATGAGAACGCTTGTCGCGTTTAGGGGACCGGTAGCGTGAGATCTCCTCTCGCCATGGCGAGTCCGGGCGCCAGATCCATGGCAGGGAGCGGCGCATTTGATCATCGCGGCAATGCGGTGTGGATTTGAGGGATCCGGTGCGGCGGCCATGGGAATTTCGCGAATTGGGGCGCGGGAGGGGCGCGTCGCGGCGGTGGGGGAGGTATTTCGAGGGAATGTGGCCGGGTTTGGGAGGAATCGATGGCGCGAGGCAGATGATTCGGTCTAGCGTTGGTGGGAAAGAGCGTTTTCTTGTAGTTTTTTTTTATTTTTTTCCACTCTTAGCGATGTTTGCGAGAGAGATGGCAAGCTGGTTGTAGCGACGAAGTAGAAAGGGAGAGAGAATGGGTGGAGGCCAGTCTAAGGAAGAGCAACTCTATCAAGCGGTCCAGCATGCAAATCACACTGCTGTGAAGACTCTCCGGCGAGATGGAACATCTTTGGAGGTAAGCAAAGCTTTTCCTTCTATCGGATTTCCTTTCTTCTTTGCTAATTCTTTCTGTGGTTTCTACGCAGTGGACCGATAAGGATGGTCGGACGCCTCTCATCCTGGCTTGCACCAGAAGCGAGCTCTTCGACATGGTCATAACTTTGTTGAATCTGGGTGCCAGCATCAAAGCTTTCAGACCAGGTAACTTTAGTGCTTTTGTTCTATGGTTTTTCAGTTGGCAACTTTGTTCGTTACGAGATCTGGCTGGCAATTGGATTGTAGTTTACTCCTTGTTGTTTTACTCACGATCGTCGTGTGTTTTGTAGGCTCTCACGGTGGATTTCCATTGCATCATGCGGCCAAGCGAGGGCTGGACAAAACCGTGATCTTGCTTTTGTCTCGTGGAGGTTAGCTAAACTTTTGGTATAAGCTCGAGTACTTTCATTCTAAGTAGCGATTGTCTCTTGTGTGTGCAGCTGATCCATTGGCTGTGAATGACGATGGCCAGACACCTCTTGATATGGCACGTAGCCGAGGCCATGTCTCGGTCGTACGAATCATTGAGGTGCGTGTAAACAGAGAGCAAAAGAAAAAAGAAGAACAATGTTTTGGATGTGATGTGCTGGTTTCTCATCTCAAACGTTATCTCCAGGACAGGATGTGCCTTTTCAGTGGAGTGTTGAGAGAGATATCCGGCCCTGGATTTCTTGAAGCGTTAGCACCTCAATGGGTGACCAGAAAAGTGTAAGCGTTAACTTCATGTTGAACTGAACTGATGTTTCTTGTCTGCAGATGGGCTGTTGTGATGCCGTCAGCGCAAGCTAGAAGGCTTCCGAGATACGAGCTTGTTATTTACCAGTCACCAAAGGTTTTTCTTTTGTAGTAGCTGGACTAAAACACCAACCAGCTTGTGCTTTTGTTTAGGTGTCGCTACCGAGGATAATAATTGCTTTGTCGAAAGTCCAGATCGAGGAACCCAACTTCAGCCTTGCGGATCCCGTGATGATTCTTACAGACAGATCGTCAAGTAAGTGACCAGCCTCGCTTGTTTAAGTAACGCAGCATGTGTGTGCCGGGCAGAAACGAGGTTCAAGTTTCTGTCAGAATTTGAAGGCCGCAAACCACAGTTGGAGAAGTTTCACAGGGCCTGTAAAGGCATACCATACCAACAGGTATAGTCAAGGCTGTCTCCTTTTAACTGTGCTCACATTTTTCTTTTCTTTTTTTTTTCTAGCAGAGTGCTACTTCAAGTCCCCAAGAGTCCGTTTCTCCGACGCGGTCACGGGGTCCGCCAATTACGATTGCCGGACCGGCACCACCACGGACGGTCACTGCCCCTCCTCCACAGCAGGTAGTCGTGTGCCCGCCAGTACGCAAGGTATCCTCTCCACCTCACAGCAAAACAGAGATCCCAGAAGACGTAGCACTGGCAATGGCTATCAACGCCTCGATACAGTCCGCCAACGCGGAGGGCCTGATTCTCTCGCCAACATCATCCAGCGTCGTCGACGAGTGCTGGCCATCTTTGAGTAGTCCTCCAAAGGCGGCCAAGCGACGGGGGCCGCTGAGCAGGAACAGATGGTCACTGGACTCGGACAACAGCAACAGCACCAGCAACAGCTCGTGCTGGGGGTCTCCGGAGGCCGGGCCGAGTCGAGCGACATCACTTCCGCTCCAGCAATCGCCATCGCCACCACCGCCACCTTACGAGCAGCGGACTAGAGTTGAGAGCTTCTGGCAAACGAGGCCCGTGGCGACAAAGCCACCAGTCCGAAACGTTCCAGTGAAAGATCTCTCGGCTCCAGCAGCACCACCTGGGTGCTCCAACGTCCCCGTGGAGATCTTCGTGCCCTCCGGTCCACCGCCGCCGCCACCACCTCCAGTTTGCAGTCCTCGCCAACTTACGGCCCAATCCGAGGCTCGGCAGGGTGCTTCTCCGTCTGGATTCTCGCTGTTTGGCATCAAGAAAAAGGCAGTGAATCCGGAGCATCAAAAGGTAGTGGCAAGAGCAGGAACAGGAGGAACTGGCGATGAGAAAGCGAGCGGGCAGTGCGTGGTTTGCTGGGACGCACCCGCGAGAGGCGTGTGCATCCCTTGCGGCCACCTCGCCGGCTGCATGAATTGCTTGATGGAGATCAAGGAGAAAACTTGGGGATGTCCTGTGTGTAGGACTTCCATCCAACAGGTTGTCAAGGTCTTCACCGTGTAAAGTTAACAATCATCTTGTTAGAATAAAAGACAATCACAAGGAAAGAATCAAAGATACACAACAATCACAAGGAAAGAAGGCTGTGTATTACGTACAGAGTTTTCATGGCACACCATGTCGCTTGTTCCCACAATCTGTGCAGAACCTGGATGTTTCCCTCAAGAAGGGAGCTCCACACTGGTCGCAGAATTTTGCGGGGCTCGGAGGCTAAAAAAACGAGTAAACCAGATGGTGAGGAAGCAAGAAGAAACGACGGAACTGACCGGAACCATCACGGTCATTCCAGGATGAATCCCAGACTGTATATCGCGTGATACATGGGGAGGAGTGCGCGGGGTGTGTGTTTGTGATGGCTGCTGCACCTGGTGACGAACACGGGACTGCTGCATCTGGATCTGCTGGTGATCACGAGTCTGTGAGTTTGTTAGATGATCATGGAGAAAATTGGAAGAAAAGCTTTCAATACCGGAGAGTGTGGTGTTATGACACTGGGAGACTCCCCGGCCTGATACTGCTGCTAGCAAACCACCAGTTAGTTTTCAAAGACACCTCTCAAAGGCAGCTATAAGCTTACTGGCACGGGTGGTGGATCACGAACAGTAAGCCGGCGGTGTTTAACTCTGGCCGAATAGAAGTTGTAGTCGCTTCCGGTAACTGCGGCTTCTTGTCTTCCAGTGAGTCTCTTAAACCTGGAAGCGAGAGAGAGTCATGGTTTTCTAGCAAGTTTTGAGAAAACTAAAGGGGTACCACTCAGCATCCTCTTGTGGCATCTCCGGACGCTCAATCAGCTCCAGGCCGTGAACAACGACGAACCTTACACGCTTTTCGTCTCCTCTAACGAGCTGAGGGAACTTTGTTTTGGCTTCTAACGCGGATGCCATCTCCCGTCTCTTGAAAGACACCGGATGGCCTGCAGTGGACACAAGAGAATGCAAAGAATCGTGAGCAGAGAAAGTGAGAGAGGAAAGAAAGAAATACCAACCGGACTTTGGAAACTTTTTCACCAGCTTTCTATATAGCCCTCCAGAGGCCTCAAGGGCAACTCCCATCGTCTTCTCGTGGACACCCTCGACGGTGTGCAGCCTCGCATCGATCTCCGAGATGAGCGTCTCGTACAAGTTGGCGACGAACGTCAAAGGCAGGAGGTACCTGGGGTCGCCCTCGTAGTGCACCTCACTCGGCTTGCGTTTGCTCTCTTTCTCCTTCGAGTTTGGATTGCTATAGTTCCCTTCGGGGGAATCGGACACGGGATATGAACGGGGCTGGATAAAGCGATCGATTATCAGCTGCACGAAACGAGCCCTGGCCGCTTCAATGGGGACTACGTCTGTAGCGAGGGAGAAGAAAAAACAGTAAGGAACTACGTAAAACATCAACACTGACCACTGTAGGTTAGAACACCAAACGCAGGAGTCGAGTTCTCATCGTTCTCGAGATTGATTTGCTGCTCTGCGTCCACTCCGTCCACCGCGTCCACTCCATCCACCGGTTGCAGATTCTCGTACTCTTGTGCTACGCAATCCTGGTCGATGAGAAAATGAGCAAAGAACTACAAAAGCTAGAAAGCTAACCTCAGATGGAGATTCCTCCTCGTTGTCCAGGCTATCGGCGGCAGCGTCGCCGCCTCCATCACCCTCGTCGGCATTGCCAATGCTTTCCACATCGGCGGCGGCGGGAGTTCTTGCCTCGACGGTGTTGAGGTCGTGCAAAGTCGTTCCCACGACGAGGGCGTTGGCGGCGTTTAAGTTGTAGTGGGCTCTCACATTCCCGGGCCAGCAGCGGAAGGGCAGAGAGTAAGGGTCGTGCGCGGGCGCGTGTTGGGAGAGATTGGGGGGAAGATTAGCCAGCTTCTTGTCCTGCGATCTAGTGAAGCTTGGAAAGAAATCACACTCTATCTCTTGCTCTCACGCACACACCACGCGACAGCTAGCTAGCTCGCAGCTGATCTCACCATGGCCGACGGAGGATTTGAAAACGAGAGAGCGCGCCATCGGGAAGCCGAACCACCATAGCCATAGCCCAGACCACGAACCAAATGAAAAGCCCTAAATTTCTAGGTCATACAACAATTAAACTTTTAACGTCTAAAGGTAATGTGAGTCAAATTATCTTTAACCCAGATAATTAAAAGAAATGGGATCATGGCATTTTAATATTAGCAAACTAAAAATAACTAATCTTTATTTAACAATTTAACAAAATTCTTTTATTTTAAGATTTCAAAAAGATTAAATCTACCTATATACTGTATATATCAAACAATATCAAGCACTAAGCTGCAAAAGCTTCAAGTATCTATTAATAAAAATCATATTAACTTTAAGATACTGATTGTAACTTAGTAATATGTGCAATAAATGCAATTTTATCTTCAACTAAAACATCAAATAATTACTTAAAATTAGAGTTGCTAACTTCATTTATATTATCTGATTTATATTGTGATAAAATAGTAAATAATAAAATAGCTAGTTTTATAATAATTTATGAGGTAACTGGATTTAGTATTTCATAGTATGATTTTGGAAAACTTTTATACATCCATATAACTTTTCATTAGTTTATATGACAAATAAACTCAAAAATATCCAAATAAAATGCTATATTTAACATCAGTATTTAGATTTGTTAATGATATATTTTATAGTTTTGCTATTTCTTTATTTATAGCATTAAAAATCATTCTTGAGGTATTTATTATGTAAAATAAAGTTTTCTAAAAACTATCAAAATTGAAAAGAATGAAAAAAATAACAACCAGGTATTAAATCATTATGACTGAGAAAATCAACAAAAATAATGTTAAATATCTAAATTTAATTTAAGGATTAATAGACTAATTATTAAATAAACTAAGATAATACTATATATGTATGCAACTGGATGTCATATATAGTTTTTTGTTGTATTAAGATTACAAGAAAAAGAGAATTTAATTTTACAAATTTTATAAAATCATTCAAACACTTCTCATACTATCAAAATTTCTATAAAAATGCAAATTTATTTATGAAATAATTATAATCTAAATTTACATGTCAAAAATATAAAACATTCATGTCTCAAAACAAAGCATGTAGGATCTTTTTAGTTTGATTGGTATTTCTAAAAGTGGCAATAAATGTTCTATAAAACATGAAATGGTAAACCTTTTATTAGTCCCTCTTGTGGTAGTGGAATTAATTAATCATTTCAAGTGTACTTAGATCAGATGAGCATAAGAATGGAATTTATATATTTTATTAGCTAATCATATATAGCTCGATAAAGAGTTTTCGTTTTGTTATGTCTTGCACTGGCTAATGACAAAAGCCTTTATGTATTGAGTATTAGTCTTTTAATATCGCTATATAATAATTTACTGTGTCCACTAAATATTATATCTTATATATTGGTCTCATTAGCTATTTATGGAATGTGTTTAGATCTACTAGTTAAGTATATCTACAAAATATAGAGATTGTCCTCATCACAATATTCACAATCAAACACTATTCCATATTTAATAAGTTTTCAAATTTATCCTAGAGACTAATTCCTAGAACTGGGATGAAAGCCTAAATCAAACTTTTATATTTAAGAGGCTATAGGGGGTCTAAATGTATTGTAAAGATAATAGGAAGCTTGGGCATAAGTAACCACTAGAGACATTTCCTTGTTAGGCTAGTTTATCCTTGTTTAACTTTGCGTTAAGTCTAAGCCCAAGTTAGTGGAGTATCTGTTAGGTGGGTGGTATGCTGAAATAATGTTAAATTCCATTTAGCTTTATTTTATTTATTAGTTTAGGCATTGGGATTTTGGATGCTTTAAAACTATTTTGATATTGCTTTATACTCTTGTTCTTTTATTTTTTAGCTATATTCTCAAAAGTTTGATTCTTTCCTTTCATTCAATGGCCCAAAGCTCTGAAACTCAAGTTTTACTTCGTTGCCCTTAGCACATATATCCAAAAGTTAGATTCCGCTTTATATTTATTTTATAATAATTCACCATAAAATATAGAGTAAAAACTATCATCATTTATATGATATCAATTTACAAATCTCATGTATTAATTCTAAAGATTGGATGTAAGAAGAAAATCTAAAAGCACTCAAAACCACTCATAAATACAAGATTTCTCAAAGAGCCATGTACAAGACAAGTAAGCAAAGATAGCAAACATTCATCAAATGCAATTTTAGAATTATTCTTTTAACATCAAGCAATAGACTATACAATGATCATCAAATTACCAATGGACATAAAAACACACCATCATCACGAGCCTTTGAAAAAGAAACACAACAACATTAGAAGAACAAAAAAATAAAACCAAAAAGGATAGAGAGGTTTCAAAAGTAGTAAGACCTCAAATGCAAGCTAGTTTATAGATTTGAAAGTAGCTTCCTTACCATGGTAGGAATTTTCATATGTGAAAGAAACTATATCACCGGGATGAAACTTTGTCAAATTGTTTGCATATAGAGCAATACACCTCTAGCAAAAATGATTTATCACAGCAACATCTCAATGGTGTTCCTCAAGAGAGATGTTGGTGACCTCAAGAATGACATCGTAAGCACAAGGCATGAGGAGAGCTTGGAACTATTAGAGTGAAAATTAGAATTTTTTCCTACTGCTTTTACCTATAACAAATTTTAGGCACACAATGTAAGAAGACTTGTGTGCAAGTCAGGTGTAGGCTTCTAGTGAATGGTTACGATAGCAGTTACAAATATGCTAGATATATAAAGGAACACTTAGATTATTTCATTAACCCCTTTCTACACATATATGTACTTACCTCTTTTGATTTATCCACACTATATTCCATTATTCTGATATTTGGTTTTCTTTAATCTCCTTGACTATCTTAATTCATTACCTTCATAGGGTTCAGCATAAATATTTCTAGAAGTAACACTCATCATAAATATATTTATGCTTTATTGGTTTTTCTAAATATCTGCAAGTATATTCTAGTTTATTTTATCATCTAGTAGTTGATATCTATTTAGAATAATTATATCTATTATTTAAATATGGAAAAGTAATTATATAAGTAGTATGGTGCAATCAATTTTCTCTTCTTGTTATTTTCCCATGTTTCAATAATGGTACCACTGACTTCTAGATCACTAGCTAGCAGATCTTAGGGTATTCATACCAGTAGATCCAACAAAAGCTTTCTAGAGACTAACCCTTGCTATTCAACATTCATCAATCTACCTCAAAACTCAATCTCGCTGGAGGACTGACTAAGATGACATAATACATTGAATGGCAGCTACACCCAGACAAAAAGCCTTTGACATAAAGCATCAAGACTAGTGTTTGGAATTCATGGCTATATGAGAAAAACTAATATAGAAACAAGTGTTCTAAGAGATTATCAATAAATGCTAGGAAAAACAACAAGTACTTTTTTCACACAAGGGAAACATTCTTCCACAAACTCCTGGAAGGACCTTCTTTTCCAATTATTAAGAAAAATTTATATTTCATAATCTGTATATTTTTTACCTATATTTTCTGGAATACAACTTATGTTTATATATTATTGATTTTCTTTGTTTAAGAAAATATATAAAGAGTGAGTTCATAAAAAAATTGTTATGTCACTAGAAGTAAAATAAAAAACATAAAAATTAAATAATTAAATTTTAAAAATAATTATAAAACACAAATTATATAAAATATAAATATTAAATTATAATAATAGTGAAAAATAGTAATACAATTTAGAAAATAAAGAAGGACAACCAAATATTGCACAATATAAAAAATTAAAGATATTTTAAGGAATGTAAAAGTAATAATAGCTAGAAAAAGTAATAAATTATATATAATAAATAATATATAGCTGAAAACCAGCTGCAATGCAACACACAATAATTATTTTAATAATACCCTGCAAATACAAATGGATTTTACATCGGTTTTTTGAACTATACTTAAGAGAATGTTTTTGAAGCCCATACACATTCAATTGATAACTTAATATTTTAATTTTATTTTATTTGTAAAAAAACTAAGTTATAATCATTTTGCAATAACAACTATAAATTTTCATGGCATTTTTTATTATTACAGTAAGTATTTGAATGCTGTAAATCATTTTCATCATAAGAATATAAAACTAAATTCCCATCTTGTAATTTTTTAAAAAAATTATAGATTTTTTAATATTTTTTTATTGATCTATAAAAGTTTATTTTCTGCATATTTTATTAAAGTGAAATATAAATAAAAATGTGAATTTTTATTTCAAGAGACTAAGTTTTTTTTTGACAATAAATATTGATATCACATGCTGATATAATTATTTATTAAGCTATATATAAAATTATCACATCTAATATTTAGCTTGTCATGAATTTGTTGATTTTTGGAGTTATATGAATCTATATCTATTTTCTGATTATAATTTTAAAGATTATAGTTTCTGATTATAGTTTATATTTTTATAAAAACAAACCATTTCATCATTACCTATTATGTGATTTGCAAGATTTATTACAAGATTTACAAAAGCTATTTTAAAATAAGAATTCTATGCTCTAATACCAATGAAACAAACAATAATCAAACCCTAACCCTTAAGGTGTTCCAGCCTTAAATCCCACAGGCCATAAAATATTCTCAAAGAAATTTTTGATGACACATTTTGGTGGGAGGTACACCTCCTATGAAGGGAGGTATACCTAAGGTGGGTGGCCTTAGAAGCTTATAAAATATATGAAATAAAAACACATCACATGTATAACTCACAAAATAATATTTTTTTAATACAACTTTTTCTTTTATGCATGGGCATGCATTTTCTTTTGCCACATATGCATTCACATTTGCCATATATGCATTCAAAGTCCAATTCAAGAAGGAGTGATTGATCGATTGAACCAATGCCATGTATGTGAATTTTTGTGTTATATAAAATTTGTCCACATCAAATTTTTTAAATCAATTGGATTTTGAGCATCTTTTAAATGTTGTAAGTTGAAGTTATTATTGCCAGGCATTCTCATTGGTGA